AGACGAACAAACTCCTTTAAATAACTCGTCCTGTGATCGCAGTAGGTACAGTGTTTAGTAAATAGGACAGAGCATAGAATGCCTACAGTAATTCCGACAAGGGTTCTGGACGCCAGGAGATTAGTCCCTCGAACAACTGGGATGACAGTAGCTGCAGTGCAAAGCAAGTATGCTAGAACAAAGAATGCTGACAGTAATTCGAAAGTGAGTTTTAGAATCCAGGAGAGAACGCACGTGAAATGTTGACGAAAATTTTGAAATGAATGCCAAAAGGAATACCGAAATGGCGTTGTAAAATTAAATGTCTTGCAGCATAATATTATGGTAAATCAATAACCTAGGGATGCTGGCTTACGAACGAACTTCTTTTCGGCCGCATGCGAAAATCACACGCTGTAGAATATGACTAATGATGTAGCATGACATTTTCTCATTGCTGGTCGATGCCTTGAAAAGTCAACTGTATTTCATGGCAAAACAGACATGAAGGTATTCGTTTTTCTACTCAGCCCGTATAAAATTACGTGTTCTTAAAAATGTCATACTCGAGGGAAGGGCAGGGTTCGGTTTTAAAAAGTTTGCATTTATGAGACGCTTTCATATCGGGAAATACCAGTTCATAAAATATGATGCCTGTACATTAACTAATGTTCCGTATGAACGATCGGTGAGCGCCACCTACCATTGTATATTCCCGATCGAAAACCGACTGGGCAACGGGCTCGTGACCCAGTGGTTAGAGGCGTGGACTTCTAACTAAGAGGTCGCGAGTTCGAGCCTCAGGTGTTCCGCACTTCGAGATTGGGTATGAGTGGCTGACGACGGTGAATAAGCCAGACATGGTCATTCCAGTCTCCCTTGTCTTTGCCGGTATAGCCTTTCAGCCTATATCATGCGCCGCTGTGCGGCTGCTGGTTGGGCTCAAGGGAGAGCCCGTATGGCACAACGGAGCGAGTGAGTTACGTATGAAAGATCGGTGTGCGCCACATACCAAGGTTTACAATAGGAATCAAATCCACGGGTTAATTTCATGAACCCCTTATCATCTCCTCTTTATACTCCAGAGTGTTATATGAGTTTTCGTACATCAAAGGTATGTGGTTTGTGAGCTCTAAGCACCGAGTGCAGGTGTAAGCGCAGGTCAAGTCCAAAACCTTCCAGGAACTGAAAAAAATTTAAAAAATCGAAAAACCCCTCGTTGGAGTATAAAATAAAAAAACTTAATGGTTTACTGAATATGGATAGGAATGAACTTTTTCATGCATGTTTCCCATGAGATATAATTCAGTTGGCAAGGGCATTGAAACTCAATGAGAAGAAATAGTGCTTTTAAAGTACGCATTTTCACCGATCGTCTATTTTGTATGCATTCGAAGGGAAGTTCGTTCGAATGTCAAGATTTCAACGGTAACAGAATCACTTTATCAGTGTGCTTCATGGTGCGTGATTTTACACCCATGCCTGCGTAGTATGGTGGGAACGAAAATGCATTACGGATTTCCGGTTATATATCATTAATTAGCTATCTTAACGCAGGAAGTTCTGTAATAGGAAATAGGGTGTAGAACAATCCCATTATATGTTAGTTGCCTCGGGCGAACGGGTTTATGAAGAACCTTCCTTCCGGTAGCCTAAATAAAATTCACTCTGAGTAAATGTGACCAACGTAGCAGTATAATTATCTTATCTTTGATTTTTGATACCCTTATAATGTTGCCTATATTGTATAAAACATGCGTAAAAGTAATCATTATTTTTATTTATTGGGTAGGAACTACGCCTTCGTCGAATTTTATTCCAAGAAGATGGATAAATATCAATTTTAAGAAAGTTCTTTTTTCGTAAATACTTTTGATACCGAGCTACCGGTGTCTAC